GCATTGACAGTAGGGCATAGGTAGAGGGGCGGGGAGAGGTAAGAGACTAACTTGATCTTGCTCAGACCATATAGCTTGACTACAGCTGCCAGTACGTTGTCCTGTGTCATGGATGAGGGAAAGGCTGCGGATGCTGTCTACCTGGACCTTAGTGTAAAGCCTTTGATACCATTTCCCACAGCATTCTTCTGGAGAAACTGACTGCTCATGTCTTGGATGGGCATACTCTTTGCTGGGTAAAAAACAGCCGGATTGCTGGGCCCAAAGAGTTGTGGTGAATAGAGTTAAATCCAGTTGGAGGCCAGTTACAAGTTGTGTTTCCCAGGGCTCAGTTTTGGGGCCAGTTCTGTTTAGTATCTTTATCAAGTATCTTTATCCCTTGGATCAAGGGCACCACCAGTAAGCTTGCAGATGACACTAAGCTGGGTGGAAGTGTTGATCTGCTTGAGGGTAGGAATACTCTGCAGAGGAACTTGGACAGGCTGGATTGATGGAGCAAGGCTAATTGTATGAGGTTCAACAAGGCCAAGTGCCGGATCCTGCACTTGGGTCACGGCAGCCCCATGCAACTGCTACAGGCTTGGGGATGAGTGGCTGGAAAGCTGTTTGGCAGAGAGGGATCTGGGGGTGTTGGTCAACAGCTGACTGAATATGAGCCAGCAGTGTGCCCAGGTGGCCAAGAAGGCCAACAGCATCCTGGCTTGTGTCGGGAATAATGTGGCCAGCAGGAGTGGGGAAGTGATTGTGCCCCTGTACTCTTGGCACTGGTGAGGCCGCACCTCGAATACTGTGTTCAGTTTGGGGCCCCTCGCTCCAAGAAGGACATTGAGGTGCTGGAGCGTGTCCAGAGAAGGGCAACGAAGCTGGTGAGAGGTCTGGAGCACAAGTCTGATGGGGAGCAGCTGAGGGAATTGGGGTTGTTCAGCTTGGAGAAGAGGAGGCTGAGGGGAGACCTTCTTGCCCTCTACAGCTGCCTGACAGGAGGCTGTAGCCAGGTGGGTGTTAGTCTCTTCTCCCAAGTAACAAGCGACAGGATGAGAGGAAACGGCCTCAGGTTGCGCCTGGGTATGAGGAAAAATTTCTCCGCTGAAAGGGTTGTCAAACACTGGGACGGGCTGCCCAGGGAAGTGGTTGAGTCCCCATCCCTAGAGGTATTTAAAAGCTGGGCAGATGAGGTGCTTAGGGACATGGTTTAGTGGTGGACTTGGCAGTATTAGGTTTTCAGTTGGACTTGATCTTTCAGGTATTCTCCAACCTTAATGATTCTATGATTGTATGATTAACTAAATTCTTTGGGTTTATACTATAGGCTGGGGTTTTTTAGGGATTCTTATGGGGTCTTGTAATTGTGAACTAGTTTCCAAGCCACAATGTGTGTCTCACACAGCAGATACAGCTATTCTGTAAAGACCAAGATAGAAACAATCTTTCCTTTTTTATCCTTTTAGAGGAATGGGTGCCAGCTAGATTAGGGGAGGAATTGAAGAGATATTGGTGTTCACTTGGAACACCTAGTCGTAACCATTAATTACACATCAAAGGGGGGAAAAAAAGTTTTAAGTACAAGCTGTGTACAGAGGTCAGTCACTGAAAAGTCTGGTAAACCAAAAGCATGGAGGCAGCAGGAGGGGGAGGGGGAAGTGGGAAGCATTTGCTCAATGAATTGAGGGGCAGGAAGTACTCAATTTCTCGTCTGTCTGAATGTTTGTGCGGTGAGTCATGTGTCATGCAGGGCAGTGCTGCAGTCCCTCCCCACTTTCACGTGTTAAAGGAACAGGACATGTTCCTTCCTCTCATTCACGTGGTTAGTTAGGTTGGAAGCTTCCAGTCACCATCTATTCAGTTCATATATTGTCCTTTGTTCCCTATTTTAGCATTTTTTTTTATGGCATATTATACAAATGGGCTGAAACCTGGGGAAGAAAAAAGATACTTGAAAAAAATCAGCTCATCAGGAAGAACAGTTATCTTCATATGCTGTTTGCAATTGTTTCTTACAGTTCAGAAGTCAAACTATTTTTCCTATTGATGTAATCGATGATCTTGCACCAGACACTACCTATTGTTTGAAAGTTCAAGCAACTCTTCCTTTAGACTTTCAAGAAGGCTTATTCAGTCCCATTCGTTGTGTGAAAACTACCCATAAAGGTACAGAGTAAAATCATTTTATCTTAAAATTATTCTTAAAGTTTAAACTGTTGAAATTAAATTGTTCTAAAGCAGTAGAAACATACAAAAGTACCAAGTTCCTACTCATTTTGGTATGGTAGCAATCTTGACAGCTATGTACATTTTAAATCAATATAAAATACGTCGCCTATCAGTATTAAGAGTTCTAGTAGTGCAAAAAGGGGGTTGCTCTGAGGCAAATTCTGTCCATTAAATTGGATTGCAAAAACTACTTTCTGTATTTTGGAAAACTGGATATTTTTGAATTTGTGACTTTGAATCAGGAGGAAAGGGATGTGTATGTAGGCAAAACAAAAGCCTTTTGTATACTTGGCACTAAATGAATGCACATAAAGTTGAGCTAAGCTTAAAAAAACACTTTTTCTGCAAGCCTTGGTGAATTTATTATTACAGATTCTGAAGAATAGCTTAGTGGCAGTTTGCCATCAGTTGCTTGTTATGCATGTCTAAATTCTTTTGTGTGTTGTTCAGGTGTCAGTTTAAGTACTTTTAAATGTTTATTTTGGGGGAAAAAAACATTGTGGGAATATAGAAAGTCAAACATAAATTGAATGCATTGTACATCAAAATTACTTTGTTATGTATGTATATTTTCCACATTTTTCTCATTGAGTTATTGCTGAGACAGTTTCTTTCTACTTATCTTAATGTTTCTGTACTTAATTTTTTCTGAATTTATTTTTAACTGATTTTTTTTTTTACTAAAGGTTTAATATGATGTATATCACAGACTTTGATTTGCCATCTTGATAACAAAACCAGTTTATTTTTTTAAACTACTGAAAGTGTACCATCACCATTTACGTGAGAAATGCCCATTGAGTGAGAAATTGCTATACATAATATAAAGCTTTGGTAACTGTGAGTTTCCTTTTCATTTTGAGCAGTGAATGACCTACTCTGTGCAACAAATGTGAGCATTCTTGCTTTGAATATGAAATTTTATTTGCATTGGAATAATCGGTATAAACAACATGTGAGCTACAACGTACAGTATCTCCTGTGAGTTAAACAATTTCCATATCTCTGTTTAAACAGATCATGTCAATCTAAATGCCATCCATTGTATTTTGCAAATAGTTATGAGAAGTTAAAGTGAAATAATTAGCAAAAGGGGCCTATGTATTAATTGAAACATTGGGTACCTCATCTGGACACAGCGTGACTTTTAAAAGGATTGCGTATAACATCATATCCTAGATTTTCAGGGGTTTAGGCTTCTTTTAAGAGTGTTGAATACCTGTTGGAATGGACTACTAAATACATGCTAAGTAACATGTTTAAAAGATGTGAAGTTTGCATTCATATCTTTTTGAATATGAAGAAATTAGGTGACTAGAAATGAGCAAAAATGCAGATGTTCAAGGTTTCAATTGTCAACATATTTGATTACTCCTGGGAAAGTAATCAACATGGTTTCCCAGCATGGGGAAAAAAACCCATCATGTCTATAAACCCGTATCTTAATATCCAGTTGTCGCACAAACGTTGTGGCCAGCATCTAAATGAAGAGGAGACATACCTCTAGCATTCTTCTGGAATTCCTTTGGCATGACAGAAAAATAATTGACTTAATAGAACTATATGAAAAAAATCTTAATTTGGATTTTAAAAATTTCTAAAACCAATATATAATTTTTCTGTTGAGGCTTGATTAAAGCACTAATTTGTATTTCCTGATCCAGTTAAATTCATTGTTTCAGTTATAAATGAAAAACCAATATTCTGAATATGAGAAATTTCTAATCCATTCTTCCAAAAATAGAAAACATCTATGTAGCACAAATGAGCATGCTTTTTTTTTTTTTTTGAGAGTTCAAAAACCTCACATTAAAAACTATTAAAATATCTCTTGCAGTGGGTATCTAAAGAAACTTCATGATGATGACTTAGTGAAGTGGCTCAGTGTACCTGGATGTGAGAACATCACTGATACACAATGCAATTTCTCATCTGTCGTCACTGCTCCTTCTGGAACTTTTTATTTCCGTGTGCAGGCCATGAGTGAATATAATACATCGTGTTTTTCTAATGAAGTAAAAGTAGATCCTCTGAAAACAAGTAAGCAAATGTGTTTTCTTAAATTTTCATTTCTCAGCAAACTTGTACCTAATGCTATTATTTGTGAAAAGAAACTCACTAGATTAAGGAAACTGAACACTTAGTTCCCCTACAGAAACTATGTTGGGAATGCTGGCCTCATCAAGCTAAACAGAAGTTTTTCCATGGTCTTCTCTGTTCAACACAGACAATATTTCACTATATTTAGTCATATAATTTTCTTTACAAAATTAAACCACAAAGCATCATATGGCATTTTATAATCTCACTGTATACTACACTAATCGCTGTGTGAGATTATTAGAAATATCCCTAGTCTGACTTTTGCCATTGACAGGGAGCACTTCCTTATCTCAGAAAAACAATGCCAAAGTCAAATACCCTGCCTCTATTTTCTTGTACATTTACTCTCATCTCCTCCTTCTCTCTACCCCTGCACAGTGCACCCTGAATTTTGTGCTGAAGCAGTATTACATTGACATACTGCAGGGCTTCATGAAAAAGTAGTCTTAAATGATAGTGACATCTAAGTCAAAAATCTGTAACACTCTCCGGAGTGAAACTATAGTAATTTTTATCTTTGTTGTGCTCTTTTGATTTTGTGAGAAATGTGACCTTACTAAAATGACTTCAAAAAAAGTTATCAATTGTAAACATCAAGAAATGTTTATTTAATATATAAGGTAATATTCCGTTGCCTTCCGTATTGAATCAATAGCTATTCTATGTGTCAGCTTTCCCTTGTCCAAGCTCTTGGTAATTAGATAATTCTTTAAGAAGATAACAGTGACCTAGGTAAATAATTTAACAAAAGGAAACAAACTGTAATGCTTCTCACTTTTCAACTATACTATAACTGTGAAAGAGGGTATATGTGAAAAAGAAGGCCCATATCCTCATGAGATTAAGAATCGTTCAGTAGTTTCACTTTGAATTGTACAGAGTTAATCCCACCATTTGTGTATTTCATGCCACTGAAACTTCCAAAAGCAATGTATTAATGTGGAAAGAGAAAATAATTGAAATATTTCTCAGGACTCAAGATCCTGAATAAAGCTATTGGTCAAGTTGGGCTTTTAAGTATATGTTTCTTAAAAATTGTCATAGATTTAAGTTACAGTATTTTATGCAGTATTTTTATTTGTATTCTTTCAGTCTTATTTTTAACTTTTCTTTTTTTTAATATCTTAAGATGAAATTGGCCCCCCTGGTCTAAAGGTGGACATCAGTGATGTTTTGCTCCATATCCAGATTTTTCCTCCAGGAGGATCTGAGTGTGAAGTCATGAGGGACCATTATGACTTGTCTTACCGGATTCTGTATTGGAAGAATTCATCGAATGACGAGGTATGAACTAGTGAAATACTTAAAACAGTATATAAAATTTGTTATGACTTAAATACTGAGTTTGAGTTCTCCTCAAGAAGCTTATTTTCAAGGGAGGCACCTATATGATGTATCAATCGTGCAATCAATTGGGCTTTTCTTTTTTTCTGAAAAACTTTTTAAAATCTGGTCAAGATAACAGAAGTAATCGAGATTTTAATATTTTTTCCATTGATGTGGCTATATGTAATTATTTGCAGAATTGCACTGAGTTTTGTACAAACTGCTAAATGGCACCCTTTTCAGTAGAAATTGTAGGGTTCTTGTGATGCCATCTTTCTTATGGTATGACTCTGCGCTGTCTTAATGTAGCTTTTGGCCCCTCAAATCCTTTTCCTTCTGCATTTTATAGCTATATGTATCATAAAACAATGAAGTCTTGCATACTTTTAGCCCACGTTTTAATGGATCTTTCCATATTCTTTAAATGCTTCTTATAGTACAATATTTTATGTTCATTGGTAAATGTGTATGTGTAAATGTGTGGAAGAAAAGAAAACAAACTGCAACAGGAGGAAGTTCATTTTGCATACAGCTTTGAACTGTAAAATTTCAGTATGGTGCAAGCAGTTGGTTCTTGCCAGTAAGCATTTCCTGAATGTCTCTGCTTAGGAGACAGTTATGTGGTTTCTTTTATTTTCTTTAATCCAAATGCAGAATGGTGTCTTCTTACAGAATTACTTCTTTAGCAGAGGCCGAAATTCTAATCTATTTGAGTGACTCTTGTACTATTTATGTGCATCTTATTCTTCCAATTTTTCTTTTTCAGGAGGAAATCAAAGTGAAAGAGATAAAACAGACAATAGGGACAGTCTCTGATCTAACACCCTCAACTTTGTACTGTGTAAAAGTACAAGCATTCTCAGAAGCTTTCAACAAAAGCAGCCGCTACAGCAAAGAGAAATGCATCAGAACACCTGGAGGTAGGAAGAGCTTGGGAATTTTTACAGCTCTGGAAGTAAAATTGTTAACCCAAAGCTGTTGCAGGTCTCAGTAGTTAAAAAATATTTTCAGTGTGACCTAATTGCCTCACAGAGTCAGCACCTAGTTGGGCATAGATCCGTATCAGCAGTATGTCACTTTGCTGCTCTGTGTTCTCTCCTATAGCTAAACTAAGGAACTGCTGCTGTTCTGACCTGATCAAAATTACATTCAGGTTATTCCATGACACAACTCAGTTTAGACATTATCTCAGATTAATAACTGTAATGACTGCGAATTAAATTTAGTTCTGTACAATGACATGTTAATAGGCAAGCTTTAATTTCCAGTACTTGCAAGTATTTTTAGGAGGGTGCAAGGAATCACTAAATATTATGTTTTCAAGAATATTTTACTCCTTAAATTGTCTTAATTCTTCTGTGACTGAATTAAATTTTTAAAAATCCTGTGCTAAAGTGTGAGGAGACAAAGTAGCAGACTCATTATAGCTGAATACATTTGTAGATGGATTACACTCACTCAGAACATGAGAGCGAGTTCTCTGTTGAATTTGATTGGGCCAATTATCTTCTGTTAACAGGCTGTAATACTAGAAAAATTACTACGTATCCAAAGTGACTTAAAGCTAAGAAACTGTAATAATAGTAATGCTGCTTTCTCACAGCTTAAGCTTTTAGGGTTCATTTATATTGTAGTCCTTGCTGCTTTGTCTTTATCAAGCCTAAAACCAAACAAATGTTACTCTTTTACCTTCATAAGAGAAATTCTTTAATCTGTTTTACAAGTTAGTTATAACTTAGTCTTCCCCATATCTTTCTATTATAACGGGCCTGTTTAAGACCAAGCAGTACATTCAAGACTATATTGAGAGATGCAGTCATACAGATTGTACCCTGTACTTCCCATATGATCTTATGTCCCAGTGTGGAAATCTTTCATTCTTTCATCATTTGTACTAACTGGAAATAAGAGATAAAAAGGCCTGATTGTCTCATCTTGATTATATGTAAAGCGTCTCCTGGCATGTATTAATTTTGGTATGTTCAAACTCCCTTCAGTTTGTTTGTTAGAGATAGTGCCAGAGAATATGTTGCAAAGCAGAAGAGTGGAGGGGGAGAAGGAAGTTTACAAGACTCTTGAACTTAGCACCGAATATCTTATGATTATGCAGATTAAAGGTTTCTTTGACTACAATATGTTACTGTTAAAAGTGGGATTCTGTCATGTAAACTCCCATGTAAGGTCCTAACCTTAAGTCCTGGTACTGAGTCTAGCTTGTTAGAAGGTTTTCCACAGTTCCTGCGTTAATACAGGAATGCAGGACCATAGACTCATATAATGTTTTACTTTGGAAGGGACCTCCAGAGATCACCTAGTCCAACCCCCCTGCCATGGGCAGGGACATCTTTCACTAGATCAGGCTGCTGCTCAAAGCCCTGTCCAGCCTGACCTTGAACACTTTGAATGATGGGGCACCAACAACTCTTGCCACTCTTCCAGTGTCTCCCCACCCACTTCATAAAGAATTTCTTCCTTATGTCCAATCTAAGCTTACCCTCTTTTAGTTTTAAACTGTTGCCCCTTGTCCTGTCACTACAGGCTTTGGTAAAAAGTGTCTCTGTCTTTCTTACAAGCCCCTTTTAAATATTGAAAGGCTGCAATAAGGTCTTCCCGGTGCTTTCACTTCTCCAGGCTGAGCAACCCCAACTCTCTCAGCCTTTCTTTCTAGGAGAGGTCTTCCAATCCTCTGACCATTTTTGTGGCCCTCCTCTGGACCTGCTGTAACGGGTCCATGTCTGTCTTGTGCTGGAGCCCTCATAGCTGGATGCAGTGCTCCAGGTTGGGGTCTCATGAGAGCAGAGTAGACGGGCAGAATCACCTCCCTCAACCTGCTGGGAGGTGATTTTATGCAGCCCAGGATACGGTTGGCTTTCTGGTCTGCAAGTACACATTGCTGGGTCATGTCCAATTTTTCATCCACCAGTATCCCCAAGTCCTTTTCAGCAGGGCTGCTCTCAGTCCATTCATCCCCCAGTCTGATACTGATATCTGATTGATACTGAGGATTTCCCCAACCCAAGTGCAGGACCTTGCACTTGGCCTTGTTGCACTTCATGATGTTCACATGGGCCCACTCCTCAAGCTTGTCAGGGTCCCTCTGGATGGTGTCCCTTCCCTCAAGCTAGTCAACTGCATCACTCATCTTGGTGTCCTCAAGTTGAGGACACCACATTTGAGCATCGAAGTTAAATTCGTCTCTTCTTTATATACTGACAAAGTAAAATCTTCTGCTGAGCTAGTGTCTAGACTACCAGTGTAGAAAATAACTGGAGTAGCCTTAGGATTGATTTCTTCTTAGGTAAGCATCTGAAAGGACCAGATGCTCACTGGAAGATCCTTTTTCTCTCTGTTGGCTGCACTGTAGTCATCTGAAGCTTACAATTGGAGTTCCTCTCCTGTCCAAGAAGCTATTTAGATGCTTTTGGGTTCCTGCAGACCCTGCAAGTCTAGGCACTCTAATACCAACTTCACTGTCATAATTGCCCATTCTTACTCCATAGCCCATGGGAATTCTTATTCCTGTATCTCTGCCTTTTTAAAGGAGAGAGCTCTATCAGTTACATACCATGTTCCTTGGGGTTAGACCCTGTACACAAGCAATAGTGCAATAGCTTTACAAGCATCGAGTGCTTCATGGTAGCTGTCTATATGCAGCCTTTTTGTCCTGCTGTCGAAAAGTGACATATAACTGGAATATAACTGGGAATAACTGGATTTTGGTTCTGATCCTGTCTGCAAATGCCTGTGTTCTTATATTGGATAAATATTTTGTGCTGTGCTTTTAATAAAATTATCTAAGATATTGGAATGGCATTATTTTTGTAATGTTTATTATGGTTGGGTATAGTGCTGAAGAAATGTGAAATTTTATGATAAATACTGCAGCAGATTTGGAGATAATATGTTCTTTAATCTTTGTAGTCCATGAATACCTAAACTGAATGTTTTTTCTTCATTGTTTTAGATAAAACTTTACCTCTGATCATTTTAGCAACATTTGTGACTGCCCTGTTTGTTGTCTTGCTTGTGGCTACACTACTTACTTTTGCCCTATATCAAGCCTACAATAAAATCAAATACATGTTCTTCCCATCCTGCCAGCCTCCTTTGAACATAGAGGTAAGATTAATCGTATTTTTCTCATTCATTAAGCAGATGTATTTTTAGAAAAATGAACAGAAAATAGTATGGAAAAGTGATTGTCTGTTACCCTGTGGTCTTACACAATTAGTCTTGGCATACCCATAGGTTTTGACAAAATGCAGGAATTCCTATGGAAAAAAAATGGGTAGTAACAATTTCTAGAATTCTGCAATTAGCAAATATTTTAACTTCTATGTTTTTTCTTCTATCTGTGCAAAGTGTTGCTAAAGATCCTTCATCCAGAGAGTGTGCGTGTCTGCCCGATGTGATAATGTGCTTTTGCCCTGCTATGTGAGACCAGAAATGTTTTCCCATTGTGTTATCTGGAAAAGCATGCTCTAGCCTTTTTGCCGTCCTTTAAAACTCAGAGGAGGCGGAAATGCAAGCCTGGTCTTTAAAGGAAATTTTAGTGTAGCAGGCAGCAAATGCTTCTACCATCTCCTGACCTAGCGGCCTGGATGGTCTCTAAAAAGGCAGATGTTGTCCAATTTCCAGCTCAGCTTGGCATGGGCAGTACTTAATAGGGATCCTGTTCTGGAATGGACAGGACTACACGTAAGTGTAGGTATATTTTGAAACGTAGCAAGAACCTGCTTTTCACTGTATTTTCATTTGTGTGCCTCTGTACATTGATTTTGAGAAGTGTGGCCTTCCTAATGTGTGCCATCTCTCACTGAAGCTCCTAGGATATGTAGTATACAAAGCTTTCTGAATGAAGTTGCAATTTAAAACCAGTCTCATAGTTTAAAAGGGCTAATCTGAATGTAATTTATTTGTAAGGCAGCATTTTAGCTGATTTGTTCTGTAGAATACCGGTAACATAACTAACGTAATGCATATTTGGAACATTTTGCGATGGATTTGGTATAAATGACCACCTCAGAGAACAGGCTTAAAGCATGTAGGACAGGCAGCCGTGCACTGCTGAGAGCTGTATAAGGCTTGGTATCCTGCTGCAGCAGCTCGCTTTCTCTTTCTTCTTTCAGCCTTTGCTTTATAACTGGTAACGATTTGTAGACTTTGCGCACACCTGTCATTCCCTTGCTGCTATGCAATCTTTGAAAGCGTTCTGAATTTCGATTTTCCCTTAGTCCTTGTGTGGCCTCATAAGGCTATAATCAATGAAATACTGCAATTATGTGGATGATTGACAGCTATGAGCCTAGCAAAAGAGTTAAGATTAATGTTAGAGTCATTCTTTAGTGTTCAATTAGATGACTGCAACTAAACTTCATCCTAACTTTGAGTTTGTGAACTTAGGGAAACAAATGGCATATTGTAAGTAGAAAACCTCATGATGCTACGGAATGCAATAACCCAGGCTTGTACAGTGGTGGTGTTAAGCGGAATCGGTATTTAGGCATTACCTGTGAATGTTCATCTCTTTCTTTTCTGCTTCTCTTTTTGCAGGGTTTTGGAGGACAGCACTTTGACAATCTTTATCTGTCAACTACAGAAGAACCAATAGAAAATTGTTCTATAATCGAGGCTATCATCACAGAAGAAGTAAATCAACTTGATTTTAAAGACTACAAACATTCTAAACAGAGCAGTCGAGATTCGGGAAATTATTCTAACGATGACGATACTTCGGGGAGCAAAATGTCAGAAGAAATGCTAGAAAAGGAAATAGTATAACTTCTCAGAAAATAAAATTCATACATGGGACTTACAGCGTAATGAACACTTAAAACTTTCTTATTATGAAAGTCACAGCCTAAGGAAGACAGTGTGACTCTGGGATCTTTGTCTTCCTCGTTTCCAAGTCTGTGCTTTGTTAGTGGAAAGTTACATACCCTCTCTGCTGCATTCTAACTGAAGTTAAAACACAAGTGACTCCTTGTACCGTAGACGCCTTTGACTGACTTTTCACCATATGATAAAAAGGATACCATCTGCATGAAGGAGTAGAAGATCTGTACACTTTATATACTTGAACCTGATAACCTCAGCAAAGGCCACTCTGTTCTGCAAGAAGAGTTTCTCGCTTAGAGGTTTGTTTTGAATGCCAGTGTGCTGCAACAGAAGCTTTCAATTCCAGTATGGAATCTTATGATGTTTACACAGGCAGGAGGAAATTGATGCCGGATACAATTTTAAGAACTTTTTTGACATTCTTTTCCAGCCCACTCAGGGGCAGTGCTTTTTGGCTCTGTCAATCCAGAGCAAAAGATGCAGAGAGACCAGCAGTAGCCTCGGTGAGGTGGGTTCTCTGAGCCTCCTTGTAGAATTCCTTGTGGCCCTGGCTGCGGGATGCTGCCAGTGCCCACCGGCTTGTTCATCTATCTGTGTCCCTGCATCCAGGTGCTCTTCTCTTGCAGCACTTGGTAATCTGGGCAAGTATGGGGAGGGGAAACGGCAGGAAGGAGGCCCGCTTCACTTCACTATAAAAAAAATTCATAGTGGAAACTCTTTGTAAACAGAGGTTGGGTCAAATTGTTTTGCACTGCATTTAGGATAGAAAACAGCAAATGTCCAAGCCATATTACTCTGGAAGAAGAAACTAAAGGCTACTGTTACTGTAAATGACAAGGCATGTTAAGAGGCATATTCTGAATTTTTTTTTTTTTCCTCCCCATGGCTACATAGCCAGAAGTGTAAAATACTTACTTCTAATTGAATTGTATTTAGAAATGTGAATCTCTTTTAATAAAGAGGAAACCTATTTCTGTAACTAGAAGGACCCAGGCAGAATTTAGAAAATGCCTTTTATCAGAATGGTGAGGATACTTGTCATTCAAAGCTTTTTCAGCTTCGTCTCATTTTGCCAACAGACGTTTCTTTGTACAAATTATAAGGATGTGCTGCAATAATGCTTGGATTTGCATACCACTTTTTTCTGAAGTAATTTTTTTAAGCAGTTTATTTTTTATAAAGGAATTGATTTAGAGTAAACTGGTTTTGAGCTTTATGTGGCTTGTTTATTTTAACAAGCAGCTGTTGGTGTTTTATATGTAATTTTTTTTAATTTTGAAGATGTGACCGAATTTTATATGTTTTATGTCCTTGTGCTCATTGAAGAACCTAATAAATTTTGCACACTTACTTCTTTATCCCATTCTTGGTTCCATGTATTTTTGATGTACTGACATTGAAGCTACACCATGAATACTTAGGAAGTTCTCATTTGTGCTGGTTTTGGCTGGGGTAGAGTTAATTTTCATTGTAGTAGCTATGGGGCTGTGGTTTGGATTTGTGCTGGAAGCAGCACTATAACAGGGATGTTTCGGCTGTTGCTGAGCAGGGCTCACACAGAGTCAAGGCCTTTGCTGCTCCTCACCCCACCCCACCAGCGAGGGGGCTGGGGGTGCACAAGAATCTGGGAAGGGGCACAGCTGGGACAGCTGACCCCAACTGACCACAGGGATATCCCACACCATATGACGTCATGCTCAGTATATAAGCTGGGGGAAGAAGAAGAAAGGTGGGGACAGTGGGAGTGATGGCGTTTGTCTGCCCAAGTCACCGTTAGGTGTGATGGAGCCCTGCTGTCCTGGGGATGGCTGAGCACCCGCCTGCCCATGGGAAGCGGTGAATGAATCCCTTGCTTTGCTTTGCCTACATGTGAATGGCTTTTGCTTTCCTATTGAACTGTCTTTATGTCAACCCACGAGTTGTCTCACTTTTACCCTTCCAGTTCTCTCCGCCATCCCACTGGGGGGGAGTGAGCAAGTGGCCGTGTGGGGCTTAATTGCCAGCCAGAGATAAACCATGACACTGTGAGTCTTCAGTTACTGTCCTTCCTAAAAGCCCTAAAGTGAAGAATATCACATATAAATTTAATTAGGGCTTACACTGGGAGTGTTGCATGATTTGGACAAATCAGATTCATTTCCTGAATTGGGGCTTAAAATGAGCCCACGGAATGTGAGCGTTCCAGTCACTGTGATCTTTGCAAAAGAGCTTCTGTCTCTGAATTCCTGCGAAATACTTAAACAAGAGACTGTATAGAGCTGTCTGTATTTGTGGGGTCTCTTCACTATAACCTAAGTTTGCTGTGAGGGTGCAACTGTTCCTCTTAGCAGTTTATGCTGTAGCAGGCCTTCCTGGATGTTTTTTTGCCTGGACAACTTCAATCTCAGTCTATTTCTCTTGTTTGTGACCTCCTTCCACAGCAGAGTTCGAGGGCATATTTTCATTTTGGGGATTTTCAAAAGTGAAGCTATTCTAAACGCATTTACTGAAGTAAGGTGTGGTGGTTTGGGTTTCTTTTTTTTTTCCCCCCTTGATCATCTAGGAAATGTTTCATCTGATATTTCAGCAGCTAGCTGTGGGCTGTTGTTTTGATAACTGTTTTCTGTGACACAGGGTTTTATTTGCCTCCTGGAGTTTCAGTGCTCTGGAAAAAAGCTATTTAATGTGAAGGATTCCACTGTTGGATTTCAGATGATGGCAAAGCAGTCTACAGTGGATGTTTCTGAAAAAGGCAGAATTCATAATTTGCAGGCAATCCACATTTTTCTTTGGAATGTGGAGCCAAACGAGTGGTAATGAATATCCGTTTATGCTTGAAGTTTGGTTATAAGATAAGTTACAGGAAATCTTACCTCAGTCCTTTTCAATGTTGCCAGAAGAAGCAGACCCAGAACGGTAAGGTGGAAATACTCATTCTATTTATACAATATCTAATACTTAAGCTGGAAAATGAAGTTCCTAAATACTTGAGGCAATCTCATTCTGACATGTTTCAGATGTGTCCAGAGAAACTAGAAAAATAACGACAGAACTTTCACACTTCACCTTCTACGAGCAGTGTATTACGGTGCACAAAGGAACTTTGTTTAAATGCCTTTGTTCACTTTCCAAAGTCTTTCTAACCAATAAGACCCCTGAAGTGTTTTTCTTTTGCCTTGTTCAAAATATTTCTGACGCTAGAAAGCTAATCTTTAGTATGTGGTGTGGAAGAAGCCCGAGGAGGAGCTGTATTTGACTCTCTTCACTGAAACTATTCTGTGGGATGAGATACAGCCCGATTAATAATTGCATACTTTCAGCTGGACGCTATAGAGTTGGATTTGTTGCTACTGATGGTAAAAATCACGAGCAAGTTACTCAAACCTGATGTTTTTGAAACTAGAAGCACTTAACCAACATTGATATTGTGGAGTACGCCTGCTATAATCACCTTTAAGACTTGGTGTGGGGAGGGGCGATGAAGCAGAATTTTTCTCTCATGGGACTTAGTTGAAAGGAAACCGGCATCTGGTCATGGTTTTGCCTATTGGGTCACATCGGCTTTGGCTTTCCCATAACTTCTGCTTTTGGAATGGATTTGTTACTAGGATTGTTTATATTATTTCAGAGTTGTATGCCTGATGTTGAAACCTGGGTAAGAGCGTACAGGTAAAGATAGAGTCAGTAGAGAACCCCTCCGGTGGTAAATCTTTATGGGATACTGGATCATGTTTGTAGGGATGCTTTACTGAATGATGACTCTGCAGTGCCATTAGCTGTAACTTTGTACTGAAGTACTTGGCATATTTATACCACTGTTTGACATTGGGACTTTATTTCAAAGAAAAAATCTGAAAGTGCATGACGGTAGAATTATTTCTCGCTTTACTAGGAATTTCAGTATCTTTTGGCTAGGGGGAAGCAGAGGAGGGCTGCAGAGGAGGAATTGCAGGAGGTGGCTATGTTCTATTCTTCCTATGCGTGCAAGGTTTTTTTGAATGATGCCAGTGATGATTTTCACATAAGATGAAATTCATAGGTAGAGCAGTACCTGGTAATGGATAATTTGATGTGAGGAAATGCAGGTAAGTCTTGGAGCATATATGCCTGCCTTAGGGATAGATGACTCTTAACAATTCGCCTTTACTCGGCGCTGGTGAGGCCACACCTGCAGCGCTGGGTCCAGTTCGGGGCTCCTCCATACAAGAGAGATGTGGTATTACTGGAGAGAGTCCAACAAAGGGCCACGGAGATGATGAAGGCACTGGAGCATCTCTCCTATGAGGAAGGGCTGGGAGAGCTGGGACTGTTCAGCCTGGAGAAGAGACGGCTCGGGGTGGGGGATCTCATCAACGCCTATAAATACCTGAAGGGAGGGTGCGAAGAGGAGGGAGCCAGGCTCTTTTCAGCGGTGCCCAGCGACAGGACCAGAGGCAACGGGCACAGACTGAAACACAGGAGGCTCCCTCTGAACATCGGGAAACGCTTTTTCTGTGAGGGTGGCCGAGCGCTGGCACAGGTTGCCCAGGGAGGCTGTGGAGCCTCCATCCTTGGAGATATCAAAAGCCATCGACATGGTCCTGGGCAACCAGCTCTGCTTCGACCAGATGCCCTCCAGAGGTGCCTTCCAACACCAACCCTTCTGTGAATCTCTCTTTTGGACAGTACTGCAAAATACTTCAGACGGGAACTAAGCCACTTTTTGTTCTTTTTATCAGATGCTCTGTCAAGGCACGGCTAAAAGTGTAACTGCAGCAGATATCAAACTGTGAGGCAGTTGGTAAACAGCCACATGAAAATAATCAGTCTCAGTGCTGAGCAGTTAAACTTAGGCTAGAGGAATGCCAGACTTGGCATAGCCCTCCTGACAATCACAGTTTGTTAGGGTTACAGGCAAGCCTGGAAAATTTCTGACAGATAGGCTTGTGGCACCGAGAGGTACTGTTCAGTAAATTTTTAAAGAAAAATATACTCTTGTGGCAGGCTGATAGTCATCAGAATAAAATGAAAATTCTATGACATATAACTTGCATTTCTTAACTGTCCAC